ACTGTCTGTGATCCTGACAGGGGAAAGCTCTTCCTCAGGCTCGCTGTTTTTATCAGGATAATAATCAAACTTACACGTTTAAGGATGTGTGTCATGGCAGGTAGTAATCACCATCCTCGATTTACCTGTTTTGGACCAGAACTTGATTTTGGGAGTTAGACACGGATTTTTCCCCAGCTGGATGGTGAGCCAGTGGATCCACTCTTTAATTTTTGGCATTATTACTTTGTCACAGAAGTATACATGAGAGAAAAGGAGATTGCCTTGTCCTGCTGCTACTTCTCAAGAGCTGATCCTGCCAAACTTTTCCACAAGGAATTATTTCATATACTGTTCAAAGTACCTTCTGGACTTTAATGTGAAGGAAAACTTGCTCATGTATTTTTTTTTTTCGTCTACAATTCCTTTTTAATTTGACGTTTTCTATAAAATTACTACGCTCAGTTAAAATTTAAGTGCTGGGCTGAACGATCATCTGGCATACAAAAGCTGAAGATGTGGTTCATGTTTCTCTTCTAGAAAGGGAAAGGAAAACATCAGGGGGAAAACACGTTGCAGATGAAGAACATAGAAAGCATTCTGGGGCATAAGTAGAACAGTGTGTGTGCTAACATTTTGATGGAGTAGTGCATTGCATATTTCTTGGAAGCCCTTGTTTTTACACTGACTTAGAGACTCACATTAAAAAAAAAAACCAGAATGGAGCATGCTCAGCTTTTTTGCAGTAAATGTGTGGTTTATGTACTGCAAGATCTGTGTAACAACGATACAGGCAATTTGCTGTCAGTGTTTCTTTTCTAATAGCTGTTCTTAGGAGATATAAAATGGTACGTAAAATGAGAAGATCAATGCATATTTATTTCTCTCTCCCCCTATTTTGCAGTTTTTTTCCCTTAAAATTTGTGTTTATATACAGAGTGTCATCTTGTGTGATCTCTGGCCTATTAGCAGGCTGCAGCTTTTGTAGCATGAATATGCAAGTTCCAAAAACTTCTGGAAATTCAAAATAAGTATACATTTTTGTGTTTTCGTGGAGTGGGACACAATCAGTAAAGTTCTGCCTTGAGTCCTGTGTGGTTTGGGAGAAGGGGATTTATTTGCACCTCTGGGTTCAGTGTAGGCCTTAGCGACAAAATATAAATACTCTGCAAATACTGAAAAATCCATGGACTTTATTCCATTAATGGAAATCTTCTGAACTGCTTGTAAGGAAATCCAGAGGAAGAGGAAGAGGTTTGGGAGGGTCTGCAAGGTTCCCACAGGGAAGTGGAGCCTGAAGGCTGAGCAGAGGACGAGAATTTCCGATATTTACCCGCTCTGCTTTCCATGCCAATCTCTCGGTGGCTGGATTTTATCCAGTCTCCTGAAGTCAAGGGTAGAACCTGGATTTAGAGCTTAGGTGCTGAAATGCATCAAAGTGGCGTTTTTTGTCTTATTTCCTAGCCAGCTGTGAAGTCTGCTGCTTGTTTGGACCGGCTGTCCTTGAGGAGCAGCAGGAATGTGACGGAGCAGCACAGCCACCCAGCCTTGCTGGTTGTTCTCCTGGAGCCCCGACTGGAGGGGAAATGAAATTAGTGCTGTTTACCTTTGGAGAGTGGTGAGAAGCTTTGGAGCTTTCAGTTTGTTGCCCTGAACTTTGTTCTCGGGGGCAGTGGCAGTTCCCCAGCGCTAGGAGGGAGACTGAAGAAGTCAGCAATTTCAAAACGTTCCTAAAAAATCTTCCATCGGACTTCCTGGAGCTTGCAAAGCGAGCCTTGGTTTTAGTGAGGCTTAAAATCGGACAGAAAGTATGGAGAAGTTTCATGTGTTAAGTCCTTGCTTGGCACAGATTTGATTTCTCTTTATTTTTAGGGACAGGGAATTCTCAGGTCTTGCCTTAAACCAGTAAGGACTAATATGATTCACAGACATATCTTACAGGCAGGTACCCTTGGTTTAAAAAATTGCTTTTAGAGTTGTGCTTTCCTAAGCTCCTTTTCTAAAGAAAGTTTGAATTCTCTTGGTTACATCATGGGATACTTTCTTTTTTTATTTCTTTTTTTTTTTTTTGCAAACCAGAGAGACAAACTACAGCTGCTTTCATATAAACACTGAATAAATCAGCAAAGTGCTACTTGGATTCTTACATGTCTAAATAGGTTAGAAAATGTCATGGGTTACATTTGCTATTTACCAGCTGGAGGTTAATTTTTTTGAGTCATACTGCTGAATCTGCATGGGTACGAACTTGTGGACATCACAGGCAGTGAGATGTGATGCAGTTGTGTTCCCTTTCCTGCTTCCCCATTTGGGTACTACTGGCTTGTTCTGGCTGGCCTTGTTCTAGAAATCAGCAGATGGTTTTTAGGGCGTAGCCACCTCTTTGCACTGTTGGTGCAGTGGATTTCAGTTGATTTGCAGTTTTGTGATGTATTTTCTCAGAAGATATGAAAGAGCCTCCAGTACAAGTCTCTTTGGGAGTGAGAAGCTCTCTCACCTCATACTCAGAGGCTGTGGTGGTGACATGTACCCCTGCTCTGCCACAAGTGTTTTAGGATAAAAATGCTCGTGCTCGAGGCTGGAAAAGGCAGATTCTCTGTCTTAGTCCATTTCTGTATGGAAATCTCAGCCTTCAGCACTTCAGATATCTGGGATGTTATTTTATGTCAGTTGCAATGATAGAAGAAAGGAAATATGCTTTTAGTTTCTTCATAATATTCCCAAATAATGCAAGTAGTATGTCTAGAAAAATCTGTATTTTATGAAACAAAATTAGCAGTTAATCTAGGTTTTATCTTATTATTTCAAATACAGGGGTTCACAGCTGAATTGCTTAAGCAAGTGTCAGTGTACATAAAGCTCCATGTTCAGGAGAGGTAACTTGAATGTTCTGGATGAAGCTTCTCCAAGTGTCAGGATCCATAAATTACGTTTCAATATTCCTTACCCTGATTTATTTCATGTAAATCCATAATCAAAGCAGAGCTTTGTTATGTTGGCCCAGCAAGTTGAACAAATGAATAGATTCATTTAGAGGTGATTACTTCCAATTGGAAAGGAATCTCACAAGTTTGCTAGGTGACATGAGAGAAAATAACACAGCTTTACAAAATCTGGATGGCAACATCAACTGCTGCTTTTTTCATGAAATTGCCTTGCATTTGGCATTTATAAAGTACAGAATGTGAGAGAGGAACATCAGATGAGTTTTGAAGTCCATCAGGAAGCAGATTAGGAAGCTGTATGTGTGGATGAAGTCGAGAATGAGCTGTGTGGGATAAGGATGTTGGTCTGGGAGCTCTGTTGAGCTGCCATTTGCTGCTCAGTCCTCCTTGAATAATGAGTAAGGAACATTCTGAGTTTGGCTTGTGGTATTAGACCTCTAATAAATAAAATGTGGACTGCCCTGAAAAAACATCCCATGCAGAAGCCAAAGGGGTTGTTCAAGTTTGGGTGGGCTGCTGATGTCAGAGAGGAATGTGCCCGGTGGTTGTGGGGTGAAAAGCAGATTCAGGGAACTGGCTGGTGTTTGTGTTGGCTTGGTGCTCAGACATTCCTCCTCCTCCTCCTCACACCGGTTCCCAGCTGTGCTTCTGCCAGTCCCACCAGCTTCCCAAGCAATGTTCCTAGGGGATTTCTTTGCCTCTCCCACAGATGCCATACAGAAATGGGCAATCAAATGCTTAATCAAGCAGGTTCGGTGTCCTTTTGTGCATTCGCTTCGTTCCACTCGGGTTTATACTCAGATGTGGTGACCTGTGAGCTGTAGGTAGGGTCTGGGAATACAGAGGAGCGTTTAAAAAGGAGTAAAATAGGTTTGCTGGAATGTTGAGCTTTAGTTTTCTCTTATCATTCGTTTTAGGGTTTTTTTGTTGCTGTTTTTTTTTTTTTTTTCCAGTGTACCTTTTTGAAAACACAGCTCTCTGCACTTGGACAGACTGACCCTACCTTTCATGGCCCAATAAATCAGTGTACCCATAGCATCAGTTGTAAAATACCCTGTTTCTTGGTTAAATAACTATCACTTTAAAGGCCTTGGAACTGAAAGCCTTACAGTGTTTCATCTTTCTACCAAAAAAGTCTTCATGTGCTTTGAACATTAATAAGATAATTTACCACCTTATGGCAGATTCCTGGCTTTGCAGGTCAGGCTCTCCTCACACAGGCACTCAGGTTACAAACCCTCAGTGGCAGACAGCCTGGAAAGGAGGTCTCTGCAGAGCAGGGGGGTCAGGCACAGCTTGCTGGGCTGGTGTAGCCCTTGGGTGTCCTCTGCCACCTGCAGTCCTGACCAGCTGCTCTGGAAGATGCCTCCACCACGGGAAACTTGGCTCTGGTGGTGTTCTTGCTTCTGTCCCTGTGCAGCACCTCCAGAGGTGAATGAAACCCATCTGTGTCTCCACTGGCAAGAGGAGGGGTATTGGTGGCTTTTGTCACCATGGCTTAAATTTTCCAATAAACCTCTAAATCCTGTCAGTAAATTATGCTCTGTTGCAGCTTAAAACATATGAATCTTCTTGCTGAAATCGAGCTGCTTTATTCCTTATGCAGCCTTTAATTAAGAAGATGTGAAAAAAACCTTTTATAAAAATGTTCTGACCTACTAGTGGCCTCTGCCCTTAAAATAAAACCCATCCCTGGAACAGTCTTGGCATGCTTTGTTAGCTCAGGTTCTGGATTAAGTTTTTATTTCTTGCTTAAATCACTCCCTGATTTTGGAGGGTATTCCCTGGCTGGTTGCCATCATCTGCTCCAAGTTGAGCAGGAGCAAGTCAGCAGAGCCACATGTGTGTCCTGGGTAAAACATGAGAGGATTTCTAGGATGGTAAATGTTACGTGCCTGGAGGTATTTACACTGGAACTGGGAGGCATTGCTGCTGTGAAGATGGGAGACGACGCTGAAACGGTGTCACTCATTTACCCGCTCTCTTGGTGTATTTTTTTTTTTTTGACATGTAATTTTAAAATACCCCATTTGCAGGTAATTTATGACGCGTGATTCTAAACCCTTCCGTTTCCAGGTGACCATGGCCCGAATTGGGATCAGCGAGGGCCGCTCCGGGGAGACGTGCGAGACCATCCTTTTCGCTCTCCGGATGGCCACGTGGAACCAGATCTTGGACCCCTGGGTGTACATCCTGCTCCGCAAGGCCGTGCTGAGGAACCTGTACAGGATCACGAGGGGCTGCTGCGGCGTGCACATCGTCAACCTGCACGTGTGGGAGCTCAGCTCCATCAAGAACTCTCTGAAGGTCGCAGCGATATCCGAGTCGCCGAGTTCCAAACAGGTGAACCTGCAGCCGCTCAGCTCGATGGGACAGTGAAAGTTTGACACAGCCTGTGAAGAGACGGTGGAGGCAGCACCTTGCAGTGAATTCCAAGGCTCGGTGGTTTGGCACATGTTTTGAATTGTCAGTGGTTTGATGTTGCTATTCCAAGAGGTGCCCTTGAATGTTTTAATTCTTTCTGGGATGCGTCCCTTCCAAAAATGGGAGTGGAGTGATAAATCATCCCTTCCAGGTATTGAAGTGAACGGGGCTCCTTATAAAACTCCCTGCCAAACCCGTTGCCTTAGAAGGTTTCTTAAGACTGGATGCAAGTGCAAAAGTGATTTCCAAGGTGATTTTTTTAAAGGAGTAGATTTTAACTACCAGAGGTAACCCCAAATCCTGTGCAGAATCACTGCTTTCTAGGATAAAGTCCAGTGTCCTTTCCATAAGGGCATTCTCTGCTTCTAGGCATTGAATTTACCAGCTGTATATATAAAAGACATTTTGCTTGTGCCTAGTTTATGAAATGAGCCACTTTGCTTGGTTCATTGACTTGACCTCTTGATTATTCCGTGAATTTTTGGGAGAGCTGCAAACTTCCATCAGTGCAATTGTTCCTTTCAGCTCACTGACAAAACCCAAGGATTCCCGTGGGAACACAGGAGCAGATCAGCTCAGCTTGCTTAGTTACATTTTCAGATTCATCTGTGAGTTTTTAGTCCTTTCAACAAATTTTGATGAAACAAACAGGCATAAAGCAGTGGTTAGTCCGTAAAAATAGGTTTTCCCCTCCCTCCCAGAGCTGAAGGACAGTTCTGGAAGTGTTCCCTTAGTGCATATACTGAAACGCTCACGTGGTAGCTCTGCTTCATTTGTGAAAGGTCACGTGTGTCTGGTGAAAATGTGTGTGACCAAATGGACAGCTCTGCAGGGGACTGCTCTGGGAGCAGGGCTTTGCTTGGGAAAGCTGAATGCTCAGCTTTTGCAGGGTCTGTGTCTGAAGAGCTGAGCACATTCACTGTATTTGAAGGTACCAGGAGGTTTCCAGGACTTCACACAGAAGGCTCTTCACCTTTGATGCTGCTAAAAGAAGCTTTGGTTTTTGGGACTGTGTGCTGTTCAGAAGCAAAACATGAGAGGTGGTGTTTTAGGATTAAAAGATCTATTTTTATTTTTATCTACTTAACTTCAAATAACTACATTAGTGAAGTGTTGTTATGTTTGAACAAAGTAGTTAAAACCAGATTTCACCAAGAAGACAGTCTGAGGGACCAAAACTATTCACAAAGTACGAATTCTTGTTGTATGTGAGAATAGTTTAAGTCAGAAAATAAAAAAAACCCAAAAGGTTTAAATATTTCTTTTTTTTTTTTTTAAAGCTATTTCCTTTTTGTTTTAAAAAAGTTGAAAGATAAGTGGGTTAAATAACCCTGTAACGAAATGGCTTCGTTTACCCTAAAGAATTCCTGCGTGTGATTTATTTTCTCAGTCGTGGAGCTGATAAGCCGTGGACAGAGTTGTTGCTGGCGTAAAAGTTCTGCCCTGTTGCTTCTCGCGGGTTCTGCTGAAACCTGGGGGCGTTCAGTCAGTGCTCGGTTTGGCTTTTTCGTTTCGTGGGGCGTGATGTCAGTGTATCTGTTGATGTAAATTATTTGTTCCTTACGGGAGATTGTTGTTTTGGCAGCCGCAAAAAAAAAAAATGTTGGCCGGTAAATTGTTGAGGTGTTTGCTCGGTGAGTGAAGCTCGACAGTGTTGTGTTTTGTTATGTGAGTAAACGTAGCCCGTGTGGTTCGTACTGGTGGACTTGTGAACCAAACAGAAGTTTATTTGTATATGTGATTTCTTATATTTTTGTGTACTAAATACGTGTTGAATGTAAATTGTAAAGCCTCATTAAAGTTACCAAACTGTGTCCTGGGAGTTGTGGTATATTTTTGTGCAACAAAACAGAGATCCAAAGTTGTTAAAAATAATACTTGTGACAAAAACCCTCACTCTGGTTTCGAGGCAGGAGGGGATAGGAGGGGTTAGTGTTCCAACCCTGTGCTGTCAGGTGAGCAGCCCAGGGCAGCTGGTGGTCTGGAAAGGTCAAGTTCTGATGACACATTCTCAGGAGATGCAGATAGAAGTGGAGCTGAGGGAGTTCAGTGCTTGGGACAGAAGGCATTTTTAATCCAAATACCTGCCGTGTTTCACATACACTGTGAAACGTCCTGGAAAAAAAAAAAAAGCTGAGTTTTGCTGTTAATATTTTGTCTTGCTGAGTGATGTGATGGCCTGCAGAGGCAGCTCAGGGTACAGCCACCCTTGGAACTGTTACCACTGAAAGTGATTGGATTATCACTGTATTCCATCTCACAGGAGAGCCAGCAACATGCTGTGCTGTAGGATTAGTTACATATTTTATGGAATAGGAGATTATTAAAAAAAAAAAACAAAACAGTGGGATGGCTTCACATTAGGATGTGAGTATTGCCCAGGCAGGGAGCAAAGGACAGTCTGATTAGCAGTGTGCTGATGGTCCCTTCAGAGGCTGGGGAACGACCTGAGCAGTCATGAGCTGCCTATTTACTGCTGGCAATAATTAGTGCCTCCAGAGCAGGCAGGGGCAGTAAGTGCTCTGATGGGGGAAGAAAGTGAATCTCATTTCTGACTAATGACCAAAGAAATCCTCAGGGTGGGAGAATATTTTAACCTAATTGGGATCTTAAGCAATGGCAGGCTGTATAAGGGAGCACATTATCCTAAAATGAGGTCCCAGCCTGGGTGCAATAAACGTGCTGAAGCAAAGAAACCATCAGTAACCAGTTGCTCATCAGAGGGATTATGCAAATATCTGTGGTTTGTTACCTGGATACAGAGACAGAGAGCAAGGTTCGAGGCCTTTTAGATCTGATTCTTGAGACAAAGTGTCCACCTTGTGTGTTTATTTTCAGATATCTGTACATAAGTGTTTTTATTCGTTCAGGCTGATGTGTTGGGAGCAATTTCAGGAATGGCAGCATGTACCAGTTTTGTAGCCATGGAGATCCTTTGGAACAAGATGTTGGGACCTTCTGGATGTGCCAATACACTGCTCCAGGATGTTCTTGGAACAGCACTCCACTGACTAACAGACTGGCACGAGATTTAATTCTCAAAAACTTGGGTCCTGGGACAAGTGCACCAATCCCAAGGGGAGTTACAACACCTGGTGTGACTTTTGGTACATCCTAAAGACAACCCAGATGCTTTTCAATTCAAACTTCTGCAACCTGCCACCAGGAAAAATGGCAAAGCTTTCACTTCAACAAACAATGACTTTCAATTAAGTCTTGCTGCATAATATTGAGGGAAGTATTTAATCCTTGAACAAACGTTGTTTTCCTGCTGAATGTGAGTTCATTTTGATACTTGCTAGGAAATTTTTAAATACTAGTAGTGTAATGCTGTGTAAAAGGTGAGATAAAAGAGGGGCTGGTTAATATGAGTAGTTGCATCAGCACTTGCTGATTATTACAGGATTCTTAACTGTAACTCACAGATTAATTAACTCATTAACTCATACCTTCTCCAGGCCTTTCCAAGCTTCCTAGTTATTCAGACTTATTAGGTCACAACTCTTTTGGTGAAGGCTGAAAGGCAAGGACAGTTGCAGATCTTTCTCATCTGTTCCTGGTTCTTCCTTGGTAAGTAGGAATCCATACTCTTTCTGGTTTTCATTTCACTTTAATACTGTTTAATTCCATCCAGCTCTGGAGAAATGCAGTAGCCTGATGGCTTTTTCGAGGTGATTTATGTTTAGAAGGGGTAGGCAGTGCAATCGAGGAATATATCTACTGGCAGAAACGTGGGGATTTGATCAGAGAGCCTGAAAACTCTGCAAACCCTAAAACATCAAGTCTTAGTACAGTTTATTCATAAGAAACAAGAAAATAAACATAATATTTGCGGCAACTTACAGGAAGGATTAATAACACTCAAAAATGTCAAAGGTCTAGGCAATCACAACTGTTTGCTGTAATAGATCTGACCCTCCTCGTGTGGGGGGAAAAAAAGGCTTCCTGTAAACATTCCAGCAGCTCCAAATGATGGTGCTTTAAGAACAAATCTATTTACTTCACTTGGCCCTTTTCTCTGCTGCCTCCTGTAAACAGGGTGATGTCTGAAGCGATTGGACAATGGTTAAACATCCAAAATATAATTTCAGAAGCAATTTTAAAAATGTGTTTATAATTAGGATAAGTTAAAGAACGGCATAGATATATGAGGGACTTTGTTTCTTAGCAACACATTCGTGGAGCCTTTAGAAAAAAAAAAGTCCTGTGGTTGCAGGATTATAAACATGTATCTATCTAGCTGTTTAATTTCAGCACCATGGTTGCAAAATGAAATACCAGCTACAGAAGTTTACAAAGATAAATCCATTTCTTATTTTTTGAAAAAAGTCTACTTCCAGTAGGAGGTTGAATTCTTGAGGCAAAAAATTGTTCTCAGTAAAACATCTCTACCAAGTAGCTACCATTCCCAGCAGAAGTTTGTGTCTGTGTATTTACTTTCTCCTGAAGGCAGCAGAAGAAAAATCCTTTCAATTCCCTTGTAAATTATAGAGAAACTGTTTGTAACCTGAAACAGTTTCTTCACTGGATTGGTTGGTTCAGTCCTGTTTTTGCTTCAGACACACTGAAGGCAGAGCTGTGTGGAAGGGAGGGCTGCAGCAGGACACTTGGACGAGTGAGAAAGTCTGAATTTAATTTCAGGATTCAAACTCTTTTGGTTTTATAACTGGTAGTTTCTAGGATGCCTAAAAAAACCCATGTGCTGTTTGCTGCTCCTTCTGCTCCGTGTGACACAGGCACAAGGGGAAGATGAAGGAGGCAGAACTTCAATCCACGATTGCCTGAAGCAGTTCAACCACAGCTTCCTAAAACAGTAATTCGACATTTGTCATCTCATTGAAGAGAATCTGTTTTGTCTTTTAAACTGACAGAGGGTAGATTTTGATTAGAGAGTGGGAAGCGATTCTGTACAGGGAGGGTGCTGAGGCACTGGCACAGGTTGCCCAGAGAAGTTATGGATTGTACCATAGCCAGTGGTTTAGATTATTTAACCTGCAAAGCTGGATAGAATATTCCATGAATGTTAGAATTGTTTATATTTTTATACAGACATGTCAGTCTTTGTCTGTATAAAATTGATCTTCTGTTCCAAGGCAATATTAATCCACTTTTTGTGAGAGACTAAAGTGTTTGCTGTGGTGTTTTGTTGGTTCAGTACTAAGGAACCCATAAAATGATTTTTAAGGTGTTTGCAATGTTTACTATCACATTTTATTTGGCATGCCTACTGCCAACCTGTTCCTCTTGTATTCACTGTCAGAGTTCACACTGACTTTGACAGAACAGTTTTCAGTTCCAGATTTGACAGAGCTGGAGCAAAACACTCACTGCTTGAAGAAATACTGATATATTTTGAAATTGCTTCCTTCTACCCTATAGCTTGCAACTCGACACATTTGCCCATGTTTGGCTGGTGTGTTCCTGCTCCCATAAGTGTCATGTTGGAAAACAGTTTATTTCCCAAGAAATAGCTTATGTGCCTTCAGTGGTCTGAAAGGAATATGATTTGCAAGTACAGGTAGGGCAGCCTTGTTTTCTCCCCTGAACCTTTGTAAGCTATTTCTGAAAGTTCTGATTTCAAAGAAAGTAAAAACAACTGTCGAGTGAAAGGGAGCATCATTCGTATTTAAGAAGTTACTTTTGTTCTTAAAACACTTTGGGTCATCAAGCAGAAATTATAAATTATAGCTTTTTGCTGTAATTAAGCAGGGATGGTTCTTCCAACTTGTGTACCTCTTCCTTATTAAGAATTATCCAACTCACTGGAACTGAGAGGATGATATTTTTATCGAGGGGGCAAAAAAAAGGGCCCAAAGGAATTATTGCAACAGGGATATCCCAATAACAAAATACCACCTACCACGTCAAAAACCCTATTTTTGGTCAGCAGTTTGTGCTGTGTATTGTCATGCTAGTGCTAAAATGTCAGTAGTTCACGATAATGGACTGAGCTCAGGGTGGTAATAGGTAGAAAAAATAAGATTCTGAGTCAAAGCCTTGCTTAAGTTATGTGTGAGTGCTGGTGGCTCCTGCCAGTGGAGTAATTAGTGTTGTCTGTCATACAAACTGCCACGTTTCCCTTAGTTAATTTTTCCTTCTCAGACAGAAAAATTAGAAGGGCCATTTTAATTTCAGAGCTGTGAAGTGAGTAAGAGGAGACTCAGCCCAGGATGTGCGTGTCTGTGCACCACATGTTTTCCCCAGAAATACACAGGATTAACAGTAGTTTTGCGGTGTGAAGGTTCAGCAGTGAAATATTAGGATTATTAGGAGTTGCTGATGATTATTCAGAGTCATTATTTGCATGCATTTGTTGTTTTAGTCCGTAGAAAAGGCTTAGGAAATGTAGATCAAATCAAGAATGATGTCAGACTGTTGAAAGTGTCTAAGTCTGATCTCAGTGCTGGTGCGAGGCTTGGATCCCGTTAATTGCGAGTGAGATCACAGAACATCTGGAAAAGTCCTGGATGACAAAACCAAGCCAATAGAACTTCATAACAGGTTATAAAAAAACCTCGAGCTTGGTGTTGTCTGGTGTGCTTGTTTTCAGAAAAGCAAAGAACAGATGGGGAAAGTTGTGGCCTTCTTGGATGGACGAGCTTAGTCCGTATCTCCACATCTTAGTCCTTGTCATCTCCAAACAAGGCCAAAACTTGGCTGGGGGCAAGGGAAATGCTACAGAGGGGGTTAGATGACAGTGTCACATACGTGCTGGCAGAATCCTGGCCAGAAGAGCCGCCCTTTTGTGATCCTGCTCCTGCCAGGAGATGTGGAGATGTGGGATCATCTCCTGTCCTTTGCGCGCCTCAGGTTGTTCTGGAG